CAGCGGCCCTACTGCGGGGCCTGTCATCACCCCTACGACTCCACAGACAGCCTCACCTCAGGGACCTCTGACAGTGAGGATGAGGACTTCTACCACTCAGCACATCCTGTTGTGAACTTTAAAGTGGACGTTAAACCAACCTTTGTCTGAACAGACTGCACATCCACAAGTTGTATTTGACATGATGCTCTATTTGTTTTGTTTGGACCTGATTAAATTAATGATTTTAGCAAATGGCTGCAATATAACAAAGAGTGAAAAATTGAAGGGGGTCTGAATACTTTCCGTACCCACTGTATCTGTAAGGTTTTTTTTTTTTTTTGAAAGAAGTGTCTTATGCTCAGCAGGGCTGCATTCATTTGAAAAATATTTTAAAATTTATTTATCAGAAATAAGACTGGAGTAATGGCTTCTGATAATTCAGCTTTGCCAACACAAGAATAAATTACATTATAAATATATTAAAATAGAAAACAGTTATTTAAAAAAAAACATTAATAAAAAAAATGTAACTATTCCAAACTTTTGACCCGTATTGTACATTAAAAATGCACTTAAATACACCTCTTCTATGTAAAACTTACGTTTAATAAAATGTAATTAGATATTTTTGGTGGTGTCTAAAGTAAAAAATATCTAATAGTATAATAAAGGTCTCATTAATGGCTAAATTCTTTTAGAAGAATTTAAATTGTACCATTTTTTATTAGTACTTAACTAAATCATAAAAATAGGAAAGGATATGACAGAGACAACCCTGTCAAGGTCAGTATTTATTATTATTATTATTACTTTTTTAGTTTTTAGATGTCAAATTGAATCTGGAATAATATGTGTATTTTTTCTTTTTCTTTTTTTTTATTGAAAAATGTTTGAAAATTGTGGAGATGTATACACAACACATTCCGTTTACTTGATGATCACAACAATTTTTAGAGATTTTTAGTCATAAAATTTATATCATGTAAAGGAAAAACCTAAATTGAATATAATGTACTAGGTCATAAAAAAGTAGTTTGGTGGTCTTGCTTACCTCTTCTCTGATTAACATAACTAATGAAAATGAGCCATTTGAGTGAGTGGAGAGGGAAATTGAGCCAATACTAAGACCAACTAGGGCTGTCAAAAAAAAAAATCGAATTTAAAATATTCGTTGAATTTAAAATAAAAATCCACATTCGAATGCAAAAACGTTGCATTTGAATTTTAGGTGTGCATTAAGGAGGCAGCCTTATCAGTGGTACACGAGATGCGATGAGGATGTAAGTGTTGTTGCATTATAATGTTTTTGTTAGCCTATCCAGTTGAAGCCACTAGATGCGGCGCTGCTGCGTTGTTCATTAAAAATATTGCGGAAAAAGAGAACATCAATGCGGAGAAGATCTTGTTTACGTCAAAACTGAAACCAAGCCATTCACACAGAACACATATTTTGCGCATTTTCTAGAGGGACATCTATCACTGTTGCACTCCCGTCTCGCACAAAGGAGCCGCATGTTTAGAAAGCCATGTAAAATTAATGCAAGTTTAACTTTGAAAAAAAAAAAAAACATATATCGAGACTTTATGGGGGGGTTTTTCCCCATCCCACTGCATCTCATGTTTTTAAATGAAAAATGTACTCTGTGTGATTGGCTTTCCGCCCTTTGTATAAAACTATGCATACAAACATGATGTTGTTTTGTTTATAGTTGTTTAAGCAACTTAATTAATTATAATTGGTTTATAAACATTATTTTAAACATTATGCACTTTTTTCCCAGATAGTCATGTTATCTTATGTTTTGAATAAACGTGCATTAGTAATATTTTGCTTGATTCGCCCTCTTGTGGCCACAGGAGAGAAGCCAAAAGGTTTTCTTCACCCTAACTGAAATTATGCATTTTAAATTCGAATATAATGCTAATTTTTATCATATTTAAGTACAAAATTCGAATTTAGTTTTTCAGCCATTTTGACAGCCCTAAGACCAACTTTGGTCTTTCATGTGTCTGTTAAAAAAGGTATTTGTTTACACTTATTTCTTCAAGAAAGCTATTATTATACAGTTTCAGGAATATCAATACTCTTTTTAAACCTTTCAAAAATGTAATTCAAAATCGTTGGTTATATGACTGATTTTTACAATCCTATTTACGTTAATTTATTTAGAAACACTGTGCAGCTTAAAAGAGAGATTAGATAAGGAGGAAATATTCCAATGCAAATACTGTCAAAATATAAACAATCAAAATAAAAACAAACAGCTGTGAAGTTAGCTTTTATTGTGTTCCGTATTGCATTTGAATTCTTATTACGCTCCTTGATCATTTAAAATGGCTCTTGCAGTCCTGTGTTATTAAAAAAATAGGCTATCATAGAAATTAAATCATTTCAATTGATAAATCTTTCTCTTGCAATATTAAAATGCTTTATTTTGTGCTACATACAACTTTACACAGTCGTTGCTTTGGTTTAGTCAGTCTGTTTATAGTATTTATTTTTGGTTAGTCTTTGTGTGTGTGTGTGGAATTTTTTATAAACGATAATGTTTTATGTTTACCAAGGCTGTTATATATTTGTTTATCTCCTTATTTATCTAATTTACACTCTAAGGAGGAAATGTGACTAAAGAACTTGAGCTGCATGCATCATGTTATTTCTTCAAACAGTGTTTTTGAAACGGAATTATTTTTGCTTATATTGCATTTATGTAAATATTTTAGTGTGTGTGAATGTGTTTATATCTCTGTGTCCCTCTTGTAAACATGTTTTCTCTATGAAGCTAAGTTTGTTATTTAATCTCTCTTTGAAAGGAATGAGCATCTACAAACAAATACATGAACATGATTGCATAAGCATACTAAAAGACTGAATGTAAGTGATGAGACGTGTTTATCATTGTTTGTGCATGTGAATAAATGTGTGTACAACAGTATATACATCTGTGCATGTGTGCAAACACACATCCACACTTGCCCAAGGCTTGCCCACTTGCATTACTTGCATCACTTGTTCTATTGCAGATGTAAGGCTATTTGTGAAACATCATTGTAAAATGTGCTCAAAGCAGCAAGATCACATCACAGAAAAGAGTGCTAGCAGAAAAGAAGCACAGACATTGTGAAACATTCAGGATGTATACAGTACAATGGTTGCAAATGAAACATTGCACTGTAGATCTAAAGCACAATAATGTTGATGGCGGGGGGAAAGGGAGAATCTGCCCATCTACAAAATGTAAATAAGCAATTATGTTGGCTGCAATGTTATGCAAGCCCACTGCAGGAATGTGCAATCATTTTTAGCTGAAACATGCCTGTGTTATGTACATCATCCTTGCACTTGGATATTTATACTTCACTGCTGTAAAAGGCGAAAAGTTAAATAACAACCTTCTAACACTTTGCTAATGCATAAGCCGTCAGATTCAAAAAGAAAAAAAAATGGCAGAGAACTTATTTAACAACACCCCAGTAAATAGTTTTCCTGATTGTTCTTAATACGTCACAGGTCAAAGAATACACCGGTCAAGGGACAAAGCCAACATGGTATGAACAAACTCATACTCAAACTCAACTATTGATGAACTATTCAAGCCTTTAAAACTGTCCCACATTTGTCATCAACCTTCTAGTAATGTCAGACACAGTGAACAGAACACGTTTTAGGAGTTCCATGAATATGAAAATGGAACTGCTTGTAAGTAAAAGCCAGACAGACTTGCAAATGACATAGCCGTTTTTTAACCAGAGCAGTAAAAGATCACAGTAATTCTGCTGTCTTAGCATTGTGACGGTACAGCATCACCTCTCTTTTCAGCACAAGATGTACATTCACTGACAAATAACAGTCTTGCTGACCTAAGAATACCTATTGGACAAAAAGGAGTATAATTTGGATGAAAATAATTTTGCCTTTTGGGTTTGAAAATTATTTTGTAGGATTGTAAAATCTTGCTGCAAAAGAAAGGCTATTAAGGTTCTTCCTTTGAAGTAGCTACACATTAAATTCTGCATGAACCGGAAACTGCAACAACTTTTGTTTTGATTGTATCCATCTTGTTAATTCTCCTCTGTAAATATACAAGTTCAAATTCTTAAAGTTCAAGTGGCTGAGCTTGAATCTAATTTAATACTATACTCTTTTAATAAAATATTTAACTTAGAAAATATTCATTTTTGTAGCTAAAAGGCCCCACATGAAAAATAATTTATAGTAAATACTATAGTGTTTTTGAACTATATGTAGTTAACTGTATAATGTATATATTATAGTATTTACAACACGTTTTTAATGAATGCTACAGCATACTGTAGTATTAACTATAGTGAACTGATAAACTAAATAGTATGCTTTAGTTTTTACTAGAGTAAACTGTGTTGTAGTATAGTATACCTTATAGTTGTAGAAATCTTAGTACAGTATTGGGTAAAGTAATTTGTTTATATTAGTTGTTATATTATCACAGCAACTATAGAATTACCACAAGAAATTTATTTAAGTACTTTACTATAGTATGGTTCAAAAACACTATATCATAAATTACTGTAGTATTTTTTAATGCGGGTAAACACATTGCATTACGCTGACACGCTAATTAAGTAATTATAATCAAACATTTATCGAAGACATGTGAGTGATTTGAAAATTACACTGTACCAATGGCAAAGCGTCAGGTCACGGAAGAGCTCGCAGGAACTCAGCTGACTAGCAACAGTGCAGCTTGATGCTTCTTCACGATTGGTCCGTTTGTTTTCCTCGGTTACGCTTATTGGGTGATTTTACAATCAGTCATTCCACGCGCCCGCCCACGTTCGATTTCCGCGCGTCATCCATGGCTGCAGAACCCTGACAGATTGGCAAATTACGCCATGTGTTCTGCGGACAAACGCATTCGATTGGCTGAGTGTCTCGCCGACGCCCCGCCCATCTGCAAGGAACGCCGCCGGATTGGCTGGCTCAGACCTCCCCAGGCCTTCCTGCGCGTTGCGTTCACATTTTTCCGATTCTTGACGCAACGGTGTGGCGTAACCCCATCTGTGCTCCCGTTCAACTCTACAGCAACTCTTGCGCACACAGCGCAGTTTACGTTCATCGGTCGGAGTGACAAAGAGAACGAGCACAGATAGACCGAGAAGAAATAAAAAAGGAAATTTCTGAATTACCGTGGGGATTCTGAGCACCGTTTCCTTTCGGAACCTCACGCGTGGCTCATTTCTTGCATTACCCGCGTATATCTTGGATTTCTTATTTGTTCATCCATGTGCATGGAGTTAAGTGGCTCGAGAAGGATAGCAGGCTTGAAATTGGGCAATTGGAAAATTCTCAGTATCGTTGGTTAGAGCAAGGAAGCCGCCATGGCTGGTGCTACAGGATCGCCGGGTCTCCACCTCAGTATATGAAAAATACTGAATGGTGATGAAAAACCACTTCAGTTTCTCAGCCTCGTGAGGGTATTTTAGACACGGACTGTGTTCTTTGTGTAAATCTCTGTTCCAGTCAGAGAGAAAGAAACAGACGAGGATCGGTGGGTTTTGTTTCGGGGGAAACTGGGAAAAGGCCCATTTCATGAGCGAATATATCTGAGGTTTCATCCCTGAAGACGATACTAATAGTAACAGAAAAGCGACCCCGAGGAAAATGATCTGAAAGCGCTTGAGAGCTCACTGAAGAAAACGTTCGCGGACAGCCGGGTTGCTTTCGCACCATTTTCCTTATTATTTAAGTCGGAGGCAAACTGCTTGCCGTGAGTCGAAACGGATTCGTTCAAGACAACCGAGCGTATTTTACTCTGAGAGACGCGTGGGATTTCGGATTGGAAAATGTCTGGTCGGCCCAGAACCACCTCCTTCGCAGAGAGCTGCAAGCCAGTGCCGCAGCCGTCGGCATTTGGCAGCATGAAAGTCAGCAGTAAGTATGATTTTTGGACACCGGGAAATCTGCTTTTAGTGCTTTGGCGAGGCCACTCGTGCTGTTGACCGAGCCTGGTCGCTTTAATTAGCGAGAATGGCGCATCTGTGCGCATCGACCGAGTCGGGCACATGAGCTGAGATTTGAGTGTCACCTTTGGGTGAAATACGACGTGCCCCATTTTAAATCGGTCGGCGTGCTTTATCCCACAGCTGAGCCGAGACCGGGGCCCCGCCGTGGGTTAAACGGGCATGACTGGCACTGGTTCAGGGCAGGGTTTCTGTGCGATTTAATGTTAAGGTCTTGATAGTACAGGAGTCTTAATCAGTCTGGAGATGAACAGCCGCGGAGTTGAGGCTGTAGTTAGCCCTCTGACAGCAGCTCGCCATAATACCATTTTCTTTTTTTAAATTAGCATCTGTTTTATATTTGATACTTTTCTCATTACTAGTCATCCAATAGTTATAATAGATATTTTTCTACAACAGCTTATTTTTAAGTAATCCAATAATGACTTGTAACTTTTTTTTAGTTTAATATCTATTTAGTTAGTTATATACTTATATATGAAGCCATACTAGTAATTATTCCTTTGCTACTAAGGACAGTCAAGTGACCAGTAATGCTACTGGTAACATTGTAAATTTTATAATTTTATCAACTGCTTGCCTCCAACTATGTGTTTTCTAGTTGTTGCTGGCACATATTCTAGCTTTATTTTATGTATTTATTATATATTTGTATCTGTTTAGGAGATATTCGTAACTATGACAGATGTCACTAGTAACAATTCTTATTTAGGTTTTTTTTTATTTTACACTACTCGTATATAATGACTAGTTAGAATTGCTACTTTATAGTTCAATTTTATTAGTAAGTTTTAAATGTTACTTGTAGCTTTGCAATATAGGTCTAATTAACAGATACTGGCGTCTATTCTAATTATAATAAAACCTGGAAAAGATACTAGATTTCAGTAGTTATGAGTAACTAAAGAATAAGTACTAGTAATTAATAGGGTGGGTGATATGAGTGTAATTTTATGACACCACATGATTATAGTTTTACTGTAACAATATATATTATGACAGTTTTTTTGTTAGTATTTGCTTTAAAATAAGTTTCTGTAATATAAAAAATTTAAATGTCACTACATTGCAACTTCACATAAACGTAACCTTGACCGATGATAATCTGACAAATTTCTACAGGTCTATGATGTGTACTGGTGTATTGCCCACCCCAAATACTTATATAGTTATTAGTAAATCTGAAATAGAAATACATACTAGTCAGAAGCAACTAGTTGATATGTGACACACAGATCCTAATAAAATTCACTGGAAAATATTTGGGATTGTCACAATTAGCAAAGAAAAAATTACTAATGAGTATGTATCAGTTACTAATTAAAAAGATACTAGCTATAATTGTAATTAGTAGTATCTAATGAAGAGTTACTAGTGAAAAAAAAAATACTAGTCATTATTGAATTTTGTTCTTGTAATTATAGGCACAATATGTAATTTTTGCCGCTAGAGAGCGTGTATTCAAAATAAACAAATAGACAGGCGTAGTTTGATGACGCCGTGACTGAGTGGAATCATGGGAGTCGTCTTCATCCCCACAGCCGATGCAATCTGACGGGACTCGGGCAGAAATCATGTTCATGGATGAGCTAATGATTTATTAACGTAGTAGAATGAAGCAGGGTGAGGCTGAAAGCCGTCGAAGCGAAACGAGGCCGCTGAACGAGCGCGACACGGCTCGAAAGCAGCGGAGCTTTTATTATGCCACAGTCGACCACTTCCGCTCCATCCGGTCGTGCGTATGTGGGGGAAATAAAGCAGCGCTGTTTTATCATACTAGATACATTTGAAAGTTCTGTTATAATGCTACTCTGTGCGGTCGTCACCTGTCTAATAAAACGCACAACATATTAAAGGTCCCATATTTTACACCTTTCTGGAATTTTATTTTAGGTTTTGATGTCCTTAAGAATATATATTTGCGGTATTAGAACCAAAAACCATCTCAATATATTTTTACATCTCCTTTCTCGGGAGCTCTGCTGAGAACCGGTCGATTTTGGCCTGTCTAATTAATATTCATGAGCCTCTATTGGAGTTAAAAGTATATTTAAAGTATACAGAAGTTATTTTGTTCTTGAGGGAACCTGTTTTAGCATTTGTCCGATAGATGGCGTAACTGCGTTAGTTCAATTCCACGCTCCCCTTTGGTCCCATTAGAGAATTAAATTTGTCTGTGTAATTTAAAGCTGCAATCCGTAAATTTTTTGGTTAAAAATGATCCGAGATCAATATTTGAGCAAGTACATAACCAGCCAGTGTTCGAAACTATCTCCTTACTTTAGCCCGATTCACAACGGTAAGCTTATAATAATGTTTTCTAATTTGAGTGGTACGGGTAGGTTTTCGTGGTAAATTCGAGCATGCCGCTGCGTCATGACGTCACGTCTGTAAACATAAGGATTGAGTCCCGGCTAATAGGCTATCGCATGTGAGGATCCTGCAGGTGGCGGATCGTTAAACTTTTCTCACAGCAGCTGGAATAATTACATTTATCATTTTGATTGTAATCCAGAAAGGATTATGTGTTTATGAAACACATGTGACTGAAATTAAATTATTCCAGTTTTAAATGTGCTTCTGATTACAGATAGCCTGGGATTACATAAGATTTGTATTTTAAAGAGAACAAG